TGTATAAAACACCACACTTCAAGAAATCAACACACAAATAAAGGTTGACATTTTTGATCCAAATTGTACGTGCATGCTCCCAAGATTATTGCTCTCCAGAGAGGTTTAGAAGAAGTTTGAAAGCAAATATATGTATTCCAGGATAATATTGCAGGATCCAATCTTGTTTGGTCGCACAGACCAGAAGTTTATTCTTCCAAGCTTTGGGACTTGTGCTGAAGCGCATCCACAGAGAACTTTTATTTATTGAAATGTGTGACCATTCTATCTGTTGTATTTTATGTGATGCCTGGTTGGATCTGGCTTCTTATTGGTTGATTGGGGTATTGGTGGCTGGGTATTAGCCATTGGCTATTGTTTCATGCCAAGTCCTCAGCTCCTAAGTATTGATAAGCTGGTGGTAAATCAGAACTCCACAGGATAACATGGATGTTTCCAGAAGAAATTTGGAAAAACAGTTTAACTCTGTAACAGCAATAGCAGAGTGGATGCATCATTGTGATACATCTATCCATCCATCGTATCTATTACTATCTGGGGTGGTCTGGATAATAACTGTCTGTAAATCTAGTTAGCTAATGAAATATAACTTTTTATAACTTAAAGAACATTAACTTGAAATTATAAAAATAGAATGTTCAAAAAATCTAGGGTGAAGATAGATTTAAATTAAAAAAACAACAACAATTACTCCAAATCTAAAAAAAATGTTAGCTAAGTTTTATTCAGATCTTCTCTGGCCCAGTCAATCATCTGGATTTAAATATACAAATTTGCACATTTATTTCAACCGGAATAGAGCTGGAAGGGATCTTGGAGGTCTTCCAGTCCAACCCCCTGCTTAGGCAGGAAACCCTATAGCATTATCCAATCTATACTTTAAAACCCTTTCAGACAGATGGCTGTCCAGTTTTTTTCTTAAAAACCTCCAGTGATGAAGCACCTACAAATTCTGAAGGCAAGGTGTTCTAATAGGAAGTTTCTCCTTCATTCCAGCTTGCTTCTGTCCTTGATTAGTTTCCATCCATTGTTTCTTGTTGTGATTGGAAGGATCGGTCCTGTTAGGAATTTTGAATCTGATGACTGTTAGATCGTGGATTGACGTCAGAACCAGGAAACGTTAATCTGAAGGGCAAGCCAGTTAATTAGCACGTTGCCTTAATGGGTATAAAAGGACACAGCTGTGCTGGTGCCTTTTGCCAGAAACAAAATGTCTATTTTGAATGAGGACGTTACTGCAAAGAGATCTCTGTTTGTTTGAATTTTGAAGGGGAGTCCTAACAGTTTCTGGCAGCCGTTATCTTGTTATTTTCCTTCAGTTTGATTTGATTGTGAAACGGCTGCTTTGTGTTTGTTCGTTTGAATTTCCAAGAGGAGACATAACATTATTGTTTCTGGCCTAAACAAACCATCTTTCAAGCAAGATGGATTTAAATCAACTGCAGCGTTTGGTAGAGCAGCAGCAACAGCAAATAAATCAGCTACTGCAAAGCAATGTGACGCTTCAGAATCAGGTAACACAATTGCTGAATTATGTTTCCAGCTTACCAAGCCCTGATGCTGTTCCCCCTGCCCCTCCTGTGAGGAAAAGCCCAGTATCCATGCCGGAGAAATTTTCTGGGCAAATGGACATACTTCCAGCATTTCTGGGGCAGTGTCAATTATTTATGTCCTTGAGGCCTGAAAACTTTCCAAATGATCGGGCCAAGACAGGATTCATTCTTAGTCTTTTATCTGGGCAGGCTGCTAATTGGGCTACTCCCTTGTTAGTTCAAGATAGCCCGTTGTTGAATGATTTCCAGGGTTTTCTTCAACAAATGACAGTGATGTTTGAGAACCCAATTAAGATACAAACTGTGGACAGACGGTTACGGGACATTACTCAGGGGAAACGTTCCCTGCAGGATTACGTTGCAGAATTTCGTTTGCTGTGTTTAGATTCCAACTGGAACAAACCGGCTCATATGGCTGCATTCCAGGAAGGTTTGTCTGATGCCATCAAAGATGAGCTGGTCCATGCAGAGAGGGCTTTAACTTTGGATGCATTGATAGTTCAGTGCTTACGAATTGAAGCTCGTTTACAGCAACGTGGACGCAAACGGCTCGGTATGGAACCATCTTCGTTTTCTCGTGCACAATCCACACCACCGAGAGTTTTCCAACCCACGGTTAATGTTGAGGAGCCGATGGAGTTAGGCGCACTCCACCCTCGCTTAATGGTGCGAGAATGTACGAGAAGGTTCCAGGAAGGTTTGTGCCTTTATTGCGGGGGTCTGGGACATTTTGTTAATTCCTGCAAATGGAGAGGGAACCGCAGACCCGTACCTGAAACCACTCTTGGCTCGTCAGGAAAACAGGGTAGACCTGACCTCAAGGAAACCCTAGGTCGGACACATTTCACATCCCCACCTCAAATTGCTGAAGTAAATCCTGGCCCTCCTCGGCATTTACTTTTGGACACTCAAATTTTTCGACAGTCACAGAAGGAGGGAATTCCTGCTGTTGCGTTGGTGGACTCAGGGACTACAACCAGCTTTATGGACCGAGCTTTTGCTATGCACTATGGGATCCCATTGGTTGCTGTATATCCACCCATTAAGGTGGAAACCGTGGATGGGCGTGTGCTCAAGTCTGGGCCCATTCGTTTCGCCACCCAGCCAGTGCGTATGATCATTGGGGATCATGAGGAGGCGATAAGTTTTTATATCACCTTGAACCTTCATCTCCCTTTGGTGCTCGGAATGTCCTGGTTGCGTTTGCACAATCCGTTGGTGGCTTGGTCGCAGAATGGTATTTCTTTTCCAAGTCTCCAATGTGTAGACCACCTGAGACAATTGGAACGAGCGACGCCTCCATTGGCTGTGGGAGACAGAGTGGGGTTGTCAACGAAACATTGTCAAGTTAATCATCAGACTCGGGGGAAGGGCCCTGCGGTGGGGGATAGTGTTGTGATTGGAAGGATCGGTCCTGTTAGGAATTTTGAATCTGATGACTGTTAGATCGTGGATTGACGTCAGAACCAGGAAACGTTAATCTGTTTCATATAAATTTTATTGAATTTACAATTAAAAAAATAACATAACAACATTACATAAGAAACAGAGAGAGAAAAAGAAGAAAGAAAGAAGAGAAAGAGAGAGGAAAAAAAAAAAAAAAACCGCTCGGTCTTGCGACCGAAAAAGGAGAAGAAGAAGTATAAAAGAGAGAGAAAAAAACAAACAAACAAAGAGACGAAAGGAAAAAGAAAATACGTTAAAACCAGACAAATATTCTTTTTGACAGTCTACAAGATCCAATTCTCCTACCTTACTTTAAATATACACATCTTATCGCTATTTATGGATATTTATGCTTATTTATGCTCATTAAACAGTTTATCTCTGATAAAACCAATTATACCATGCATTCCAATTATTATCAAATGCTGAAGACTCTTTATTTTTAAGAGCTATGGTTAAATTGTCCATTTCTGCGCAGTCACATATTTTCTGAATGACCAATTGATCTGTAGGTAAACGGGATGATTTCCAGCATTGGGCAAATGCTAATCTGGCCGCAGTTAGAATATGAATTATTATGTATTTCGTCTTTTTAGGAAAATGTTTATCAGAGATCCCTAGTAGGAAGAACTCTGGTTTGTATTCAATTTGATCTTTGGTTATCTCCTCCAGCCATTTTCTAATTTTTTGCCAGTATTTCTGGGCTTCTTTACAGGTCCACCACATATGAAAGTAGGTTCCCTCTATGTTTTTACATTTCCAACATTTTGGACTAGAGTTTGGGTTCATTTTCGCTAACCTCGAAGGGGGTAAGTGCCATCTATATAACATTTTATACATATTTTCTTTGTACGCCGCAGATTTCGTAATCTTAATGATTCTATTCCAGATCTTTTCCCATTCTGTTAATGTAATGCTTCTTCCAATATTCCTACTCCACTTTATCATGTTCCCTTTCACTATCTCTTGCTCTAATTCTACCTCCAATAAATATTTATAAAATTTAGAAATATTCTTTTTATTTGATCCTAATAAGATTTTATCTAAGTGTTGTAATTTGCTATAAATTCCAAACTCTTTGATATCTTGTTTGTATCTACTATGGATTTGTATATATAACCACTGATCAATTTTAAATCCCTGTTCCTGTAAGTCCTGTCGAGTTCTTAGCTTCCCTAAAGGATCTAATAAATCTTTATATTTAGTCATTTTTGTTATATCCAAATTGTTGGGATGAACCATTGCCTCCATTGTTGAAAGCCAAATCGGAATTTTTAAATAATGTTTTTTACATATTTTTTTCCAATTAGTTAATAGTGAATCTCTAATAAGATGTCTATGAAAGTACGCCTGTTTAGTTTTCCCCACATCCCATAGAAATGCGTGCCATCCTCTCTGAAGGTCGTGCCCTTCCAAGGCTAGAGTTCTTTTATTCCGTAAATTGACCCAGTCTTTTAACCATAGTAAATTGGCTGCCCAATAATATAATTCCCAGTTTGGAAGCGCTAGCCCACCTCTACTTTTTGCATCTTGTAAGGCCTTAATACTGATTCTAGCTTTTTTCCCTTGCCAAATAAATTTAAGAGTTACCTTATTTATATCATCAAAAAAATTTTTTGGTAATTTTATTGGGATTGTCTGGAATAAGTAAAGGAGTTTTGGTAAAATGTTCATTTTGATTGTGGCAATCCTGCCCAGTAAAGAAAGCTGCAACTTATTCCAGGATTCTAGATCTTTCTTAATTTGCTGTAACAGTTTATCATAATTATTCTCTTTGAGTGATTTACTATGTGGTGTTAACCATATGCCTAAATATTTGACCTTTTTTGTTGCCTGTATCCCCATGGTTTTTTCTAATTCTTTCCTCTGGTTCTCTGTTAGATTTTTAGTCAGTAATTTCGTCTTATTTCTGTTGATCTTTAGTCCTGCTACTGAACCATATTGTTCTAGTTCTTTTATTAGATTATGTCCTTTCTCCATGGGATCCTCTAGGAAGAAAACCATATCGTCTGCAAACGCCTGTAATTTATATTCCTCTGCCTTGACCCTAACCCCTTGAATTTCAGGATTTTGTCTTATCCGCGTTAACAATGATTCTAAAGCAAATATAAATAAGAGGGGTGAGAGAGGGCAACCCTGTCTAACGCCCTTTTCAATGCTTAGTGGGCCTGTTTGTTCACCATTAATTAGTATATTGGCTTGTTGGGTATTGTAAATTGTTGTGATAATATTCTCGAATTTAGTGCCCAGATTCATGTTATAGATTTTTTGTATTAAGAAGTGCCAATGTAAGTTATCGAATGCTTTCTCCGCATCTAGAAACAAGAGTGTAAATTGTTTCTCTGGATGAGCTTCATAATATTCTAAGACGTCAATAACGGTTCTTAAATTGTTTTTAATTTGGCGGAATGGAAGGAAACCATTTTGGTCTTCATGAATGTATAAATTTAAAACTTGTTTTACTCTATTCGCAATAATTGAGGTAAATAATTTATAATCGGCATTTAAAAGTGAGATTGGTCTATAATTGTTAATATATCTGGCATCCACATCCTCCTTCGGAATTAACGCAATCAACGCCTCCCTCCATGAGTCTGGCATTTTGGCAGCCGAAAGTACTTCGTTAAACACTTCCAGCATCAGAGGCCCTACTAAATCTAATGTGGCTTTATATAATTCTACTGGAATCCCATCTGGACCAGGGGATTTATTATTACATTGATTTTCCATTGCAGATTTTAACTCAGACCATGTAATATCCTTATTTAGTAATTCTTTGTCTCCTTCCCCTATTGTTTTATCATTCGTATTCTCCAGATAAGTTCTTATTTTATCCTCATTGATTTCTTCTTTTTTATATAATCTTTGGAAATAGTTTAATATAATATCCTTTTTCTTCTCAATCTCATGTTGTGGGATGCCTTTCTCATCTATTAATTGGTGTATCAATCTCTTTTCTTTTTCTTTTTTAAGTTTATAAGATAGCCATCTTCCTGGTTTATTGGCGTGTTCAAAATAATTTTGTTTGGACCTTCTCAAGCTAACTTCTAATTTATCTTGTTCAATTAAATTCAGCTTATGTTTGGCTAGTATTAACTGATTTTGTAGTCCTTGGGTCTTAGGGGTTTTTTGTAATTGTGTTTCTAAGTCTTGGATTTGTTGTTGTAACGCGTTTTGTTGGGCATAAATTCTCTTGTTTCTCATAGCATTATAGGAAATTGTTGTGCCTCTTATAATTGCTTTCATAGTATCCCAAATGTTCTGTTTTGAAGTTGTTTCATTATTATTATCTTTTAGAAAATAATTTAGCTCCTCTTTCAGTTTATTAATATACTCTTCTTCGTTTACAATTTGGTTATTTAGTGTCCATCTTTTTTTTATTCGTCTCCTATCCCTCCAAATTAGCTGTATTGGGTTATGATCAGCCCATTCATTCGGTAGAATTTTGATTTCTTTTATTTCATTAGCCAAGTCCAAATCCATCCAAGCCATATCTATTCTGGTCCAAGTCTTATGTGGGTTAGAATAATATGTAAATTGTTTTCCTTCAAGATTCCGTTCCCTCCATAGATCTTTTAAATTTAACTCTCTCAACATTTCCTTACATGCTGCAGAGAGTTCCCTTTTCCCCTTCTTGTTTTTCCCCATATTACTATGGTCTTTCTGGTAGTCTGCAATGGAGTTAAAATCGCCAATCAAGCAAATGTTTCTTTTTTTCAAAGCCTACTATTTTTTGGTGAAGGTGTTTAAAAAATTTCCCCTGGTCATCATTTGGGGCATAGATTGCTACAAGTAAAAATGTGATGTGGTTTATCCGAACTTGTATAACCAGAGTTCTTCCTTCGGGATCCGACCAGATTAGTTCTGCCTTTACATCTTGTTTTACATAAATTGCAATTCCTTTTTTCTTGTGTTGGTCGGCCGGTGCTGTAAAAAGTTTACCTAATTTTGGACAAATTAGATATCTTTCGTCATTCTTCGAAATATGTGTCTCTTGAAGACATATTATATCTGCGTTATGTTGAATAAGTTTTGAGAATATCCTTTTTCTTTTTAATAATGAATTTAATCCGTTTATATTGATGGAGAGCAACTTCTTCCCCTCCACCATTTATCTACTTCTGCTTAGATTTTTGCCTAGTAATGATTCGGTTCTCTTGTTGTTGTTGTTGTGGGATTTGCTCTTCTCTCCCATGTTGTGGATTATCACTTCTTGAAATTGGAGAAAGTCGTTCCTTTTGGGTTCTGTGATAATATCGGACCTCCTGTGGTCTTGTTTTAGGTTCTTCTTTGGTGGGTTGACTATTCTTATCTGTGAGCTGTTGATGAAAAACTTGGGCCTGTTCTATCGATTCTATTTTGATTTTCCTCTCTTTCCATGTAATTAACATCCCTTCCGGGATTAACCATTTAAAATGGATTCCTTCTTTATTTAAATCATTAGCTAAAAATTTATAATCTTGTCTTATCATCCTCACTCTCTTTGGAATTTGTTTTAAAATCCTAATTTCTCTGCCCTTATATGATATTGTTTCCTCCCTAGACATTTTCAAAATTAAATCCCTCAGACATCTCCTAGAGAAGCGGATATGAATTTCTCTTGGACAGTTGTTACGCCTGGCGTAGCTTGTGCTAACCCTATATACCTCCTCAAACTCTTTAATTAGATCATCTTTTTCCTTTCCTAGCCATTCAGCCAATATTTCTGCCATCAAATGTTCCAATTCTTCATTTTTGGCTTCCGCCACATTCTGGAATCTTAAATACGCCATTGCTTTGTCCATCTCGAGGTGGATCAGAGAGTCTTCCGTTTCTCTAAGTACATTTTTAAATTCCTCATCCATCCTTTCAAAGTTAGACTCCATGCGTGTTGTTCTACTCTCTATATCTTTTATTTTCACTTCGTTTCTCTCCATGGCCTGCTGTAGAGACCCTATCTTACCCTCCACCTTCGCTATATCCGCTTTCATTTCAGCCTTCATTTTCCCCATCTCATCTTTCAATTCACTTATATCTGCTCTAGTTTCCTTGTGATTATTAATCATCATTTCTTGCATTTTAGATATAGCTTCCTGCAAGGCTAATATGGAAGTTTGTATATTAATATTGGGGACATTGGGCTGCTTTTCCCCTATTAAAGACTCCTCGATAGTTTTTTGAGATGTTGGTGGGGTGGCTGTCAACGTAGTCGATAGGGTCGGGATAGCCTTCTTTCCTGTTTTTAAGGCCATAGTTGTTGTGGATGTCATCTCTCTAAGTATTTGTTTTTGTTGATGCACAATATTAAATATATTATCCCAAATCACCATTCAGTATTTGGGTTCTGTACTTGAAAGACTATTCACGTATTTCAATTTTATATCTCACTCCACAGTCTTTTCCCCTATATCATAAATAGAGATCTGCAACAATATTCTAGTCAATGTAATAAGAAAATTGGTCAACAATAGTACATCAATTAACACTTTAAGGAATTGATCTTAAATGTCGTAAGTAGTCTAAATAATTTATAAATAGATTATATCAACAAAGTTTATCCCTTTTTACTATTAATACTTACAACAGTAAACTCTTAACTCTTTGATAATAGTGTATCCTCCCCTTCCCCCCCCCCCCAGTAAGTAAAATTATGTAAAGTGTTTAGGAGATACAATAGGGAGGCAAGGGGCAAGATAATAAGAGAAGGGGTAGAAGAGAGATTACCACAGCTTCAGAAAATCAACAAACAAACAACCACAAGGAAGTCATCTTAAAGAGAAAATAGTGCCAACTTAGTAAACTTAAGTAGTACCACGTAATAAAGAGAGCAAATTGGGTGAGCTAAAGTTCCATCTTCCAGCTAGAGGTTTCTTTTCAGCCTTCCAATCAGCAAATGGTGAAAAGTGCTGACTAATCTGCAGTCCCAAAACCGTCTATCCCAGCGTTCTGTTCGCCTCTGGCTTCTTCCTCTTGCTGCTGCTTCTTTCTTTGCTTTCCAACTTTTAAATCCACATACAAATCTTCCAAAGTCCAATATAATGCTCAATTTATCTTCTCCCCAATATTAAGTAGATGTAATAGTCATGTTGTGCTCAGACCAGATCCGGATCTCCAATCTCCAGGTTTTAGCAATCTCTCTCTTTCCCCAAAGCTTCCCCAATTGCTTTTCTGGCCGCTCTCCGCCGGACTTCCAAGAGGTGCTTATCACAACCAGGAGAGAAGAATTTATGCTATCATTCTTCTGTCATTCTACTCCCTTCAGACTTCAAAGAATCCAAGATATAAACCGTTTCTCTGTTCCTGTTACTGGATCTCGCAGGCTGTCACTGCTTTGCTTATTCACTCAAGTGGCAGACCGGATTGGAAGCCGCCATAAAATGACAGCTTACTCTTTAGCGCCGAGCTCGGGAGTTTCCCTCTTCACTGTTGGGGAGTTGCCTTCCCCCCTCTGCAGCTCGAGGATCTCCACGTTGACACGAACCTCTCCGGGGTTCATGTATCCCTGGGGGATCGCTCCTGACGCCAGAAAAGGTGTTCGAAGCCTGCACCAGACTTCTTCACCTCCGATCTCCTGTCCTCTCACTTGAGACTCCCCATTCATTCATTCCAGGAAACGTTAATCTGAAGGGCAAGCCAGTTAATTAGCACGTTGCCTTAATGGGTATAAAAGGACACAGCTGTGCTGGTACCTTTTGCCAGAAACAAAATGTCTATTTTGAATGAGGACGTTACTGCAAAGAGATCTCTGTTTGTTTGAATTTTGAAGGGGAGTCCTAACAGTTTCTGGCAGCCGTTATCTTGTTATTTTCCTTCAGTTTGATTTGATTGTGAAATGGCTGCTTTGTGTTTGTTCGTTTGAATTTCCAAGAGGAGACATAACAGTTTCTTGTCTTGCCTTCTGATGCTTTGGAAAATAAGTTTGCCCTCTCTTCTTTGTGGCTTCAAACACCGGAATACTGCTATCATGTCGCTCGTAGTCCTTCTTTTCTCTAGACTAGCCATACCCAACTCATGAAACTGTTCATCATATGATTTTGACT